CTATTTGAGTGTCTTCTTGATGTTTCGTATGTCTAGAACTATATGGTAGGTATCCATGTAGGTTTTTGGTGTCTTGAATCGTGCTAAGTGTTCAACATTGTGTTTCGTTGAACCGTGATGAGTCTTGTGTGTTCTTCGGAACTACGTTTGGTTTACCCATTTGATAAGCATGCTAGGTCGGTGTTTAAATACTAGCGTGTGCGTTGTTTGTACCTTCCGATTGGTTGATGATAACTTGTGTTATTCATCGTTGTTGTTGGGCTGTGACCCATTCCTTGATTGAGTATGGTTTCATATCTTCATTGTGATCCGTTGATTGATTCCTGTTGAGGTGTGATGTGTGTGTGGCTTTACCTGGGTTGCACGATTAGTGGTATGGGACACTAGTCACCAAGGTATTGCAGCGGTCCTCGTGGTGGCCGTGACGTGATTATGGAGTTGTGACCTTTGTGTAAGGTTCACGTGATTCTTGGGTGGCATGTGTTGCCGTGTGTGTGTACGGTACCCTCGTGTACTATGAAATTGGTGGTCTCGTTGGTGGTCGTTGGTGGGGGACGACGGTCCCAGGAGGGAAAAGGTTGGACTTGTATGTACAGGGGTCCTGGAGGTAATGGTTGGAAGAAGAAATAAGGTTGGGGGTAGCCATAAGGTTGGAACCGGGCATAAGGAAGGCATATCAACTCGTGATGGGTGATGTCACGAGGGCTCGTGTAGCCGTTGTTGTGAGTTCTTCTCTTGTGACATGTGTAGTCACAAAGGCAAGTGTTGCCGTTGGTGAATCTTATTCCTTTACGTTGTGCATGTCGGGTTTTGATCTATTGTGTGATGATAGATCATGCCTTGAGCCGTTCTTGTGGGTCGTGTTGTTCTTTGTGGTCTTGGGATGTGTTCCCGTGTTGTTGTTGAGAGTGGTGAGTCTTGTGTTGACTATTGCTCTTGGTTTTGTACTTATATACTTCGTTTCGAAATTGGCTTTACAACTTATATCTTATCTATGTATGTTATTTCACATGTATTGGTGGGTTACCAGCATTATTCGCTGACCGGGCGTCGTCCCAGGTTTTATTGTGTTCTTTTAGGTGATGTCTAGGCGAGTGCGCGGTCTAGTACTTGCTAGTTTAGCTTCTCCCTTACGTTTTGTGACCTGTGTGCCAGTTTAGATGTAGAACTTTGAGACAATGGGTTTAGATGTAAACATTGCAGATGTTGTCTGTGCGTTCATCCTTTTGGTGAACGTGGCATAGCACCCTGTGTTCCAGATTATATCTATCTATTTATCTTTCAGTCTTCCGCTGTGATTGTTGTTTGGTTTAATTATCTGCATGTTTAAGGCTTTTATATAGCATGTTTTCAGGGGGTGTTACAATAATGAATTACGTTGAGCAATTACCTTGCCCCGAGTTGATAATGAGTACGGGCGCACGCGGAGACGGGCGCTACGAGGCCGGCTGACATGGGTTCGGCCGACACGAGGTCGGCCGGCCAGAGGACGTCCCCGGGAAGGCGGCCGCGTGCGCGGCCAACCGAGACGACCAGCTTAGACGCAGCGCACACCCTAGGGGCGGTACGAGGTCCGACCTCGCCTATCGCCGAACGGAAGGGTTCGGGGCGCGAGTCAAAGGACTCCAACCCCGGAATCGCTAAAACGTCCTAAGGGCGGTACGAGGCCGTAACGCAATCTTCGCACCCTAGGGGCGATACGAGGTCCGACCTCGCCTATCGTCGAACGGAAGGATTCGGGATGCGAGTCAGAACACTCCAACCCAAGAATCACTAAGACGTTCTAAGGGCGGTACGAGGTCCGAACGAGCGTAACACAATCTAGATACCCTAGGGGTGGTACGAGGTCCGACCTCGCCTATCGCCGGACGGGAGGAGCCGCCCAAGTGCGGTGACTTGGAGTCATAGGGCTACCCTATGGGGAGCACGAGGTCCGACCTCGTTTGCCACTTGACAAGGTCTTGGCTGACTTCCCAAGGAGGTCTCGACCGACCTCTCGAAGAGGTCTCGGTCGACCTCTCGAGGAGGTCTCGACCGACATCTCGGGGAGGTCTCGACCGACTTCTCGGGGAGGTCTCGGCCAACCTCTCGAGGAGGTGACTACCAACCTCTCGGGGAGGTCTCGACGGGCCTCGCGAAGAGGTCTCGGTCGACCTCTCGGGGAGGTCTCGACCGACCTCTCGGAGAGGTCTCGGCTGACCTCTCGAGGAGGTTGCTACCGACCTCTCGAGGAGGTCTCGGCCGCCCTCTTGATTAACACCTCGGAGTCCTTGTAGCTCGATACGGCTGCCTTCAAAGCCTCATCATGCACCCGGCGCTTTCGTGCACGGCTGGCAATCAACTCGGCATACTTGCCCTCCAACGCCGCATGCTTGCTTCCCATGGCCTTGTGCGCCGCCTCCAGCTCTTTGCGACCTCTCATCTCGGCACCCAGCTGAGCCCGAAGGGTCCCCAACACACTCTCCATGGACGCCGCTCGAGCGACAGCTTGCACAACAGCAAGCATAGACAAAGGATAAAGCGTTAAAACACGAGGGGGTCCGTAATTATTAATCGGCTTTGGTACTCTCTTGGGCTAACGACATCTCGCAGCCCCGAGAGTGGGGGACTTATGATGGAATAATTACGGAGCGAACCCGGAGCGAAGCAATATGGAGCGGATCGCACCCGGCACCGAGTGGGCTACGCACGCGGCCGGACAGACCATGGAGGGGTCTACCTCCCTGGGGTCCTCGACTACAACCGCGGGGTCCTCGGCTACTATCACGAGGTCCCCGGCTACTATGCACACGGAGTGACGAACCACTCCGGGGTCGGCCAACATGGGCTCGGCACCCCGGGGTCGGCCAACATGGGTTCGGCACCCCGGGGTCGGCCTACGTAGGCCCGGCCACCACGGGGCGGCCGGCGCACCCGGGGTCGGCCTACGTGGGGTCGGCCCGGCCGAGTTCCGGGCTTGGCCGGAGACTGGGTCCTCGCGTGGAGCGAGTCTTGCGGCGCTGATCGTGGCTCCTTCCGCGTACCAGGCCAGTAGCGGCCGGGGAGTATAAAAGCACTCCCCGTGTCCTATTCAAGCATCTTCTACCTTTCCTACAACAATTGTCTGACTGTTACACGTTGATTACCTCTGTAATAGCACTATACACTCAATTAATACAATATTAATCATTTTATTATTCGTTCATCATATTCAACCATATATACGGGTTGTATAATCCGGACCCCCGGGTTCATATAATCCATCATGGTTCAAACATGAAAATTAGAAATATAGTAAACTAAACTATAAGTATTTTTTTTTTTTTTGAAAAGAACTAAACTATAAGTATGATTGATGAAATAAACAAAAACATGAAAGTTTGATTGAAAACAAAAAATATGTATGCCTTCTTTCATCAAAGTGTGAAAGAATGAAGATATGATTTCGATTTTGAGATATTAAAAAAATGAGTAAATAAATATCCCAATCATTTTGATTCCATTCCCCTTAAACTAAATCCAATTGATTTTTTCAAAACAATAATAAAAATCCAATTGATAGTTTCATCAATCATTCTTGAACAAATAGTTAATACAATCAACTAACCTAATTATATATCTAATATCCACAGTTAACAGTTAATCCCAAAATAAGTTAGTGTATCCATTAGTTTAATGTTTCTAGCAGAAAGACCAAACTATTCGACCAAACCTAGATTATTCGACCAAACCTAGATAGTTCTAGAATCTAGAGTATGGAGGGGACTAATTAGGGTTTAAGCTGTCATTAAACATGGTTTTATAAGGAATCAAATCAAACATGGAAAACATGGAAATGTATTTAATGATTAACTAAACAAGGGATGGACAATTCCAACTACAAAAACAGGATTAGTTATTTCCAAATTTGATTTGATTCCTTATTTACAAGTAGAATAATTAATAAAGAAATAATGCGAAGCACCTTGTCCTCAAATAGCACCTTTGTGACTCTCCTTGAGGGAAGGTTATAGGATCGAACTACGGTAGTGAGATATTGACTCTTTAGACTGCAACAGATTGAGAAAGTATAGAACATATATTACCGAGTTAATAGTACTAAAAAAAATTAATAAAGAAAGAATATTTTTTATTGGGTTTTGGAATTCTGATTCCATGTGTCTGTATAAATATAAAAGGAAAATGCTATTTGATTATTGGAGTAGACAATAGGGATAGATGTACCGGGATTTGATTCTTGGAGTTTGTTGACATGAAGAACCAGGTACCAGGATGCTCAAATCAGAGGTTAACTAACACCAAAGGCTTAAGCTACCAATACCATTAGAGACAATTTAGACAATTTGTGTGAGACAGAATGCTATATTTATATTTGCAAATTGCAATATCCTATGATCAGTATGATGTGTTCTGTTTTGTGGACCAATTGGACATGCAGTGCTGCAACCCCAACAAGAACCGATGGAGGAATAAACTATGAAATATGTAATGCTTTTTAATTAAAAAGTAATACTTGTATGAATCTAAAAAAAAAAAAAAAAAAAAAAAAAAAAAAAAACGCATTACATTATAACTAAAAAATACATGTCACATGTAAAATGATCTCATACAAGACCTACTCTATAATTATAAGCAAATGGTAAATTATACCATGGACCAAAATTTACCTTACATTATAAACCTTTATCTAAAAATAAACTTCAAATTTTGTACTTGCAGAGCAGTTGACATATATGTATCTGTAGTTAACCTCATGATAACTACATACACAAATTATTAAGTGCAAGTACAAAAAATGTTAACAATAAACATAACATGTTTACCAACATCATGTGTTCGTAATTAACATATTTTGTTCATGCAGTTAACAATTTACATATCTATATTTATCGTATTATATGAACCTGCATTTGCCATATGTTTCTGATCATATAAGAAAGCATAACCATACCCAAGCGCAGTTATTCTTTTCTCATAAGACACTTTAATTGTATCGCAATTGAAAAAGAAATTGACTACTATTTTAACCCTAAAGACTGTAAAACAAAGCATAGAACTAGGCCAAAGGCGCCAACTCCTGGGAACAAATCCCAGTGGGCCTAAATTAAAGGTGATGACTGAGAAATCAAGAATCTTTTACAATAACATTACATCTCTATTATTCTAATTTATAAAGAAAGTTCTATTCAGAAGAAATCTGAAGATAGCAATGGAAAATGCACATGGAACCATCTTGGGCAGCTGGTAACTTCTAAGGAAGCACTGGGACCTTTTCAATCATTTCGTACTGCAGAACAAAGTTATCCTGAACCCAAAAACCAATAAAAAAGGGGGTTTTATTAATGGATTATATGCTGAACTCCAGAAAGTAAATATCCCTATAGAGTACTCACTCCGGTCCATTTTACCTATCTTACTTTCCTTTTTAGTTTGTTCCAAAATGTTGTCCTATTTCCAAAATTGAACATCACCATCATTCTGCTTTTTTCCAAATTACCCTTATGAATTTTGATTTCTTATTGTTTTTATTTACAGAAGTGAGAACAGTGAGGGCACAATTGAAAAACACATAGCATTTACTTTAGTTCCTTAAAAAACGTGCAAAAAGTAAATGTGACAATCAATTCGGGACGGAGGGAGTAGTTAATAAGTGCAAACCTTTCTCACGACCTCCCAAGTGTTGGGGTCAAAGCAGAAGTAACAGCCTCTCTCGTAAGTAGCAGTCTTGACAAGAGGCTCAATATTTGTGACCCTTGTGAACCATAGGCGGAGCTCTCTGTGATAGAACCACCCCCTAACATGCCTGAAGAACATTAAACAATTTGCATGTTAACTTGAATGAATTATTTAAAATCTGTACTTCCAATATTTTCTTTTTCCTTTTCTTTATAAGATGCATGGTAAGGAAACATGGAAGTCTGGAATTTGGTTATGAAAAGGCTCGAGTCAGTTCTTGTCATCTACTACTAGCAACTGCTGGTTACTAACCTCTCAGGTCTAATCCTATCAAGGGAGGTTACTAATATGTGATTGGATAACACTTGTCCACTAACTAATGCAAATTGAATTTATATAAAAATTGTCAAGCATGCTGGTTAGATGAAAAAAAACATTCTTAAGCCGAACTTTTTCAACACTCGAAGCATTGATCACCCCATAGAACTTATCTAGGTGAGCAGGAAACCTGGGGGTGGAGTGAGGAAGGGGATATGAAAATGCATGGGAATTGGACTATATGTGTGTGTGTAAAGAATCAATTATAGCACAGATTGAAAGATTTCAATTAATTAGGAATATTCCAGTATATATTGTAAGTCTTGTACTTTGAATTATATAAACACAGATCTAGACTCGTTCACTTTACATGAAGGGACGAAACATATTAAATTCCCTTTCTGCTAGTCCTCATGATGCAAACAGAAAGGATTCCCTGATCCCCAGAGCATTCTCTCGCAATACATGCTCTCTCTCCATTTAATTCCATTGTCAACCCAGATTGCCAAAATCGGCAATAGTTAATTCAATATTTTCACTTCACACATATAATATTTTTGTCTTTGCAACCATTTCCAAAATGTCACCTAATCTATTGCTAATTACTTTCTTAAAAAAAAAAAACACAACACCTAAATATAATAACAATAATAATAATAATAATAATAATAATAATAATAATAATAACAACAAGAATACATAATATGCACAACTCTAGTTGCATCCAGATTACTTTCTTGATTCTTATCTCCAATTTACTGAGAATTAATGCCCTCAAAGCAGAAATAAGAATAAGTTAAATACTGCAATTTAATCCACAGAGAGAGTAAGAGAAAGAGAGAGAGACATACAACTCATTTGCCGCATACAGTTGTGCCTCCTCCTTAGGCATGCTACAAAGGGAAGATAACAAAAGCATCATTTCAGAGTTAACAACAATAATGTTTGTCTGGGAGCAAGCAAGAAATATTACCTATAAAAGTATCAAATGCTAAAGCAAAAGAAAATTAGATTAAATGCTACAACGTCCTCATTTCACCACATATTTACCTGTAGAAGATATAAAATAATGTCTCTGGCCTAAATTTTGAGAAGTAACTTTGCTGCATTAGCAAAATAGCATATCAAAACACATGTGATAAGCACAATTTTGTGGTACTTCCGGAAATAGAATTATTGAAAGCTTACTTTTAGGACAGGAGATTGTTTAGCATTATAACATTCTGGGATGGTGTATTCAGGCTCCCCTTTGGCAGGTTCATCAGACCAAGGAGAGGCAAAAGTCTTATGAAGATTTTCTGCTGAGTTCAAGTTTAGACCAAGTGAAGTCAGATCAACACCAAGAGCAAGTGTACTCAAAGCAGGATTTGTCATTTTGATAACATTTAGTAAACCAAACATTCCAAATCGATCAGCAGCCTGTGATGCCTGTAGGGGTTTCAGATCTTGATCTCTAAATGGGCTGATTGAGCGGAACTGAGATTGCCTTTGGAATGGCTGATAGTGATCCAGAAGTTGATCATAAGGTCCCAAATTTGACAAGTTGGAAGAACCTGATCCGGTTGAAGGTGGACCCATGGTTCGAGCCTTAAAGGAACAAATAATTATTACTAAACTAAGAGATAATAACCAGAGGGGGAAAAAGAAAGCATTTATAGACAAAATGATAAAATATCAATTCTCCCTTCCCAAAAAGTAATCACCAGCGAACAGGACAGCAAACCCCAAGGTGCAGTCAACCAAAACATTGCAGAAGCTGAAGTGACACGACGGATCAACAGTAGAACATACCTCAGGACCATGGAAACGGGCATCTTGATAATTTGCCGGTGGAAAAGAAATCCCACTCCCATTCGTTGATGATGCTTGTTGCTGTTGAGGTTGATGTGATGAATAATTACCACCAAAACTGAATCCAGATGATCTTCCCACCTGCAAAACCAAAATGCAACAGATGATAAGATAAAGTATGTAGCGAATCAATTCCTAAAGGCTCTAAGAAGCACACAAAGATACCAGAACTTACAGCTAAATGCTGCGATTGCATCATGGATGCCATGCTTTCTTGAAGTTGATCTTTCTGCCCTGCACTTGTAGGAAACTCAGCATCACTATCTTCTTCGTCAGAAGACATTGTATAATTGAAAGATAAAAAGAAAGCAAAAACCTCGAGCAAAATCATAAATTTATAGCCCTTTTTCAGACTAAACTTTGTAACGCAAAGAGTGGGACCACATGTAGTGGAGGTGCAGCTTGACAAGTGGATACTCTATCAGAAGTCTCGTGACAATAAAGAGGCAAAATGCCCCGCGTCAATTAAAGAGGGCAGTGCAAAGAAAATGCAAAAAGACAATAATGGAAAACTGGGGCAGTAAGTAGGGGTACTACAAAGAAGGCAATCAAACTAATGAAGAAAGAACCCAAAAAAAAAATAACGAGGAATAAGGGAATTTGGGACAGTGATTAGAATGAAAAATAGGGCGATCAAACTGAAGCACAAAAGGTGAAAAGGGAGAGAAGGGAAAATTTGGTACAGTAAATAAAAGTAACTATAAAGCATATTGCAAATGTAGAGAGTGGAGCACATCAATAGTTCTATTGTTTTAATATAATGGCATCTAAAAATGAGGTAAAATAGATAGGAGAAATTTACATGTTTGATCAATTATTAGAAACTTCGTACATTGCAATAAAGGGATGCTTTAAACTTTCATGAAGAAGAAAAAAATATAATAATTGCATTTCAAATCAGGAAAGTTATCAATTAAGAATTTACATGCATTGATCAATTTTCAGAAGCCTCCTAAGCTGCATCAAAGTTAAATAAGTAAAAAGGATATGGGTGAAGGAGTGATATTTAAATTTCATTGGAAGAATGGCAAACACACTTCACTAAAGGCCAGACATTTCTCAGAAGCTTATAGCTTCCAACAGATAGGCCAGAAAAGGAAATTGTTCCTCTGAGGGGAAAGCTGCATTTATGCGAAGAATACCTAATAATTTCCATTTCCAAGAGTTCTGTAGAATACATACTGTAGTACTGTAGTGATACGTATTGTACCTCTTCATTTCTCTTAACTCAAGAAATTGTTACTTATACAACAAGACCAACAACAAAAATAATGACATTTTCTTTGATCTATATCCATCTGAAAGATGCATGAGGCAAATTACTTGACTAGATCCCCACACCTATTCTCTTTTCTCAGTTTGTGTGACATCTAGTGTTCTACTACATCAACTTAAGATGAATACTTTCTTCGCATAACCTTGTGTATGTTTTGATATTTACATGGGTCACAATCATGGTGCATCAGCAAAATGAAAGAGACAAGAACAACAAATACTGTTCAACATTCTATTGATATTATGTTAAGATGCCACAAGGTATTCATTCTGACAAAGTCATACTTGTATTTACTTCAAAAGAGAAAATCATAACACCTTTAAATCCTGGTAAAGCAGGAAAATCTTCATTTTGAATACTAAATTCTTGATTCTGTTGGGAGAAACCAATGTTGGGCTTCCGTATGAAACCTGTACACACAAACCAAAAGATTCTTCAATATTAATTTGTATCAGAAAAAGAAATCATGTAACAAAGAGTTGATTGATAATTGAAATTACCTAGTTGTCCCTGGGAACCACCAGCAGAAGGAGGACGGCCACCCAACTGAGGAAAGTCGTTTATATCAAAGGTAGCATTATCACGGGCATTATATTCATTCAGAAGTGCCATCGAAGCTAAATGACTATTCCCTGCTTGAAATTGGTTTTGCAAGAGTGGTACACCAGCACCTGAATAAGAATTCCCTAGCATTGATACCATCTGTGGAGCTGAAACCCAGGTGCCAGAAAAATGGTAATGTATAAGCAAATAACCAAATACTGACAAATAAAACATCACATGCTCTAGTCCCAAGTTTGCAACCTTTGGTGGGGACACCTAAAGCTAATCTTTAGATGTTTGTCCAGTCCCAAGTACCAATCTACAGAAGTAATAGTCCAGTTTTTTTTTTTTTTTTTTTTTTTTTTTTGGTAATAGTCCAGTTTTTAAATCCTAAAAACTAATGTTAATTATTTAGTACTCCATAGAAATGATAGAATTTACTTATCAAAATGCCTAAATTGAAGTGAGTTTCAGAACTTTGAGAAAGCATGTGGCATTTTCTCTCCACAGAGATAAACTATTAAAAAAGAAAATTTATATTTGAAAATCAAGCTTACCTGTTAAATTTATGCGAGAAGCAACACCATGCATATTTGAGCCTCCATCGGCACTTAGACCCCTACCAATATTGCTCCCACTAACAATATTAGTCATTGAATTTCCAATTCTTCCTGCATTTTCCAAATTAGCAATTACGCCTGAACCTAATGTTACATTCCCATCCCAGTAAAAAGGAAACGAGTAGAGAACGGGCAAAAAAAAGTATAGCTCTCTCCAACTATGTAAAAGTGTGTAAATAGATACCTCCTATGTTAGTTGCCCCTGAATGTCCATGAGAGCTTGCAAGCGATAACTGCATCAAAAGGTCAGTGCTTATTAGGAAACATTATGTATCCTATACATGCAAAATGTGTACATTGGGAGACATGATGCAGATAGACAGAAACTCTTTGCAGCACTCCCGAACCAAATGCTCTTCATGCAGAAAGCTTATTATGATACCTGAGAAAGCACAGTTGGAATGTTATTTATTGAAAATCTCCCATTAGAAACATTTCCTGCTTGTTGAACACTGCCAGAAGGACCACCAGTCATAGCTGAATTTCTTGATGCAAATGTACCATGCACATTTGACATATTGAAATTCCCATGAATGCCCTGCAGGCTTTGCACTGTTCCTATAAAAAATAAAACATAAAAAATAGAAATAAAATAACCATTGCTATTTTTCTAGCTCATTCAAAGTTATGGCACAATAAAGAATTAACCAACAATATACCACCAGAGTGATTCAATACAGTGGCAGTGGAACCTGACTGTGCTGAAAATGAAGTGGCCAAAGCTCTAGCAGTGGTTTCTGGAAGGTTTGAAGCTGATCCATTCAATCCCGACTGCAAGAGAACATGCCAAATAGCTCTTAAGGATTTTGTCAAAATAAACAATATAAGCTGAAAACTGCATACCATGTTCCATTCAAAACACAAAAATTTCATAATTGGCGGTCATTTTCATTGTCTAATTAAAAAGGTTCAAACAATATTTGAAAATCTCAGTACATGCTTCATCAAACCCAACAACAGCAAAGCAACAGAGTCCACAAAACTAAAATTCTTATTCTAAAATTAATCAGAGAAGAAGAATACATTTAGTAGCCCTGACATTGCAGAATATGATTGAATACTCAAAACAAACTGCAATGAATCATTCCCTGCCCAAAGCAAGCTCTTGTTGATCTTGATAGAAGCCAGCAAGGAGAAGTTCCCTATTGGCGTAATAAGTAAATAAATCAGAACACTGTACATGATAATATAATAGTTCCCTGACATAGAAACATCACTCAATTGTGGAGTCATGAAAAGTAAACTAGCATAATGGCAAGGCAAAACCACCTATCATAATTCTCATAAAGATACACAAATAACAGCAAGGAAGAAAATACTCCCATAGTTAATCTCAGCTATGTTAGCAATAATTGTGAACCAAAGCCATTCTAATAGTCATTTTGCAATGGCAGCATGTACAGTTCATAAGGTTTATGGCTAATGTGCAATCAAGAGACAAACTACCTCACCAACAACAGTCAGGACCCTATAAAGGAATATCAAGAATCCACATCCTTTCTACAATATAATTTGAAGCCCACAGTTGCAAATTGGCTATAAACCTATTCCAAAAGTGTCAACAGCAAATATTGCAATGAAACATATCCGCATGCTCAATCCCAAATAGAACTTGAGGTAATTGTCTCAAGGTAAACTAAACCAGTGCAGTTTGGCCAGTGAACAAAAAGGCTTAAAATAAAGCACATTTCATAAAATCAACCTCTACTGATACAAATGACAAAGATCTCAGGTAATGAGCAATTATTTCTATAACCTAAATCTGGTCTAGAAACAAAAGTACTTCACCACGATGATTTAATCATTCAATTACTATCAATAATGCTGAAATTTCAGAATTTTACTCCCTTGAAACAATCGGGCTCCTCTGGGAAATCACCGAAATCCATCCCTTTCTGATATTAATCAAGCACAAACACATAAAACCTCTAAGAATCTCTACTTCACCACCATCCATTATTCTCCAAACTCTCAACCGAAACGAACATAAATCTAAAATGCATGCAAGCGCAATCGACGGCACAACACTTGCTCAATTCCCCCCCAAATGCATAATCACTCTAAATTACGCAATCAATCGATTAAAGCAAGCGAACTAAACCTCTTTGCAGACGAATGGGCAAAAGAACAACCACACGAATCTAGATATCGAAAAAAAAAAAGGGAAAAAAGTAGCACATTCGAGCACAAAACCTCTGAAAAAACTAAACGATTGAAATCAATTCTGAGAAGAGTCCTGCGTGTGAGGAGAGTTTAGATTCATTTAGTCCAGAAACACGAGACCTTTGAGACTCTTAGAAATAGAAAGTGCAGAGACCAGAGAGTGATGTTTGAATGCGGGGGTCCGCCAAGCCGATGATAATGGTTATGTAGCTTTCGATTCGATCCCAGAAATGTTCTCCGCCAGATCGTGTTTATATACGCGCTACTGAACCGCTGCCCAAAATCTCACCGAATGCCCACGCAATCAAAAACCAGATTAATCATTTACGGAGTACAATATTTTGTTGCGGATTCTAAATAGATATATAATTCTAAGGAAGTGTTTTGGTTGACGGAATGCTTGAGTGATAGAAATGTTTAGATTCTCATTTGGTTTAAATTGAGATATATAATATACACATATTTGGTTGATGAAAAGTTAATTTTGTTAATATTATAATAGGTATTTTGTTGAATACTACTGACTCTGTTAGATTGTAATATCTGACTTGAACTTATAACCTCTTATATGGGAGAGTCATTTCGTGCTACTAGAGTACTAGACCACAAGGTCATTGACATAGAAGTAAATAAATAATATATATATATATATATATATATATATATATATATATATATATATATATATATATATATATATATATATATATATAGAGAGAGAGAGAGAGAGAGAGAGAGACGAGTTCAGGTGCGGCGGTGCGACGTCACCAATAGAGGCGAGTTCAGGTGCGGTGTCACCAATAGTTCAACAGATATACACCATCAACGTTAGGAAAATACACCACAAAAATACACATAAATTAGGTACGCATCACCAAAAACACACCATTAGGTGTGAGTATAAACACCATACAGTGTTCAGAAATACACCACTGGGGTGTGGTGAGTTATATGGTATATTTTTTGGATCTGTTGTGTATTCTGTGATGTTTTTTTGCATTTCATTGTGGTGCGTTTCTCTTACACTGTTGCTGTATTCTGAAATTCTATCGTACCGCCGTACGGGAAGACCCTGGTATGTCTCTGCCGCCCATGACTACTCCAATGCATCCCACCAGGCATCAGGCTTCTATTGTGGTGCCTCCGCAGCGTACACACTTTATAGTGTTTCGGCATATGACTTGGGTTTCTACTCCTCAACCGTAGGCATTGGTAATCTCTACTGATTCTTCTGATCCTACTTGTTATTCGTAGGCGGTTCACTATTCAGAATGGCGTGATGCAATGAATTAGGAGTTCAATGCCTTGATGCATAATGATACTTGCAACCAGGTTACACCTCTGCCTAGTATGAATATTATTGGTTGCAAGTGGGTGTTTCATACAAAGTGAAAAGCGGACGAGTCTATAGAGCACTATAAGGCGCGATTGGTGGCTAAACGTTTCAATCAGGTTGCTGGAGAGGACTTCTTTGACACCTTTAGTCATGTGGTTAAGCCTACCACGGTTTGTCTTTTGCTTTCGTTAGCTGTTTCCCGTGGGTGGACGGTTCGACAACTGGATGTGCATAATGCCGTTTTAAATGGGCATTTATTTGGGATTGTGTATAAGCAACAACCACTTAGGTATTCTGATTCCACTAACCTTGATTATGTTTGTCTACTGCAGCATTTTGTATATGGCTTGAAACAGGCTCCATGGGCATGGTTTAAGTGTCTCCATGACTTTCTACTTTCTATTGGTTTTCGGTCCTCAAAAACTTATGTCTCTCTTTCGTATTATTCGGTTGGTGGATCACATGTTTTCTTGCTTGTATATGTGGATGATATCCTACTTATGGGTAGCGATCCTAAAATTTGTTTATGATATGCTCCAGCGTTTCTCAACAACTTTCAAGATTTGTGATCTTGGTTCTCCGATATTCTTTCTTGGTATAGAGACTGTTTATGCGGATGGTGGTCTTGTTCTTTCTTAATGCAGGTGCTGGTATGTGAGTGATATCCTGAAGCGGGTTGACTGCAAGTCGCTTGCTACTCCTACCTCGCTTACTCGCTCTACTTCCGCCTCTGTTGAGCTCTATGATAATCCCACGCAGTACGGTAGTCTTGCAGGTGCTCTGTAGTATTTTACAATTACTAGGCCTGATCTATCCTATGCGGTCAATCGGCTTTGTCAATTTATGCATTATCCGAAAGTGGAGCATTGGTGTTTTCTTAAACGTGTTCTACGTTATGTGAAAGGTATGTTGCCCTCTGGGTTGTGTTTGAATGCCTCAGTGTCTAGTGATCTCCATGCATTTTTTGATTCGGAATGGGCTAGATGCTCCGTTGATCGAAAGTCAACTAGTGGGTTTGCATTGTTTTTTTGCTCTAATTTTGTCTCCTGGAAATGTCACAAATAACGAATGGTTGCCTGGTCATCTAGTAAAGCTGAATATAAGGGTCTTGTTGATGTCTTTGCTGAGGTAACTTGGATTGTGTCTCTAATGCGTGAACTTAGTCTTCCACCGAGTTGTCCACCTCGGTTGTGGTGTGATAATCTTAGTGCTACCTATCTTTGTGTCAACCTGGTATTCTATGCTAGGACTAAGCATGTGGAAATTGATTATCATTGTGTGCGGGATAATGTGGCGTCTAGGAGTTCCAGGTTAATTTTGTATCTACCAAAGATCAGTTTGCAGACATTTTTACTAAACCTCTACCAGCTTCGCGTTTTGAGTTTCTTCGGGACAATCTCAATGTTGTGCATTCCTTGTGCTTGAGGGGGTGTATTAGGACTCTAGGAGTTATTCTTGTACTTCTTCTTATAGTATTACTCTTGTATTCTTTATATACTCTTGTAAAACTTATGTGTTACGATTGGTTGAATATACAATACAACATTATCTCAAACTCTCATCTAGACGTCATCTTTGCACCTTTTGTTTTTTTGTTTTTTTTTTGGGTTGTTCTCTGATCTTTTGATCGATGTTTATTGGCCAGGGATTTTGTCTTTTTTTGGTGGGTTTCGACTGGCAAGGAGAATGGAAAATCACCATGATGGGTTCGGTGTTGCCGAGGGCGGGTGTGGCAGCGTATTGGCGTTGGTCCGGTGTTGCCATGGGTTTTCAAACCCTTGGGTTTGGGTTTGGGTTTTGGTTTCTATGCAATTCCCTTTTTCCAGTGTGCAACTGTTAACGGATTGTTTGCCTTGTTATTTGGTTTCTGTGCAATCGTGTCCATCCCATGGTGTGCACACATACAGTTCTACGTGTGCAACTAAGAAAATGTGCATGTTTGTTTTAATCATGCTACCAATTAGAATTGTAAGGCATTCTCATAAATTTGGAGCGGGTATTCTCAGCAATTTTGCATCAATAGCTTGGTGTGCATGCGTTTAGTTTTACGTGTGCAAGTCAACAATTGTGCATTAGAAGCATTGTGTATATGCGTTTAGTTTTACGTGTGCAACTAATCAATTATGCATCAGGATCATAGTGTACACGCGTACAAATTTACATGTGCAACTGAGCAACTCTGCATCAGATCTATGGTGTGCACGCATAAAGATTTACGTGTACAACTGAACAACCATGCATTAGAACCATAGGAAGGATAGTATTGCAAAACAGCAGATACCGTAAAATTCTTCGTTACCATAAAAATATATTGCTAAAATAATGCACACTATCTTAAAATAATATTAATTCAATTTAAAATGCACACTCAAATTACCAAACAACTCCAAAATAAAAATAGAAAAGGAATTAAAAAGAAAAACACACAAAATCCTAGCCCTACGTAATAGAAAGATCAATTGATATGACTAGCTTGAGAAGGGGTGGTTTCACTTGAATAGTGTGTGTATATGTGTTTATCTCGGAATTCTTCCCCACAAAGAGAGCTCATATTCCACTTAAGCTATCACCCCGGGTTAAAACATCATGACACACTTGATGCATTGAAAAGATGCCGAGACTACAATAATGATGCAATCAATTTTGCAAATCTAGAAAATGAATAAATTTTAAAAAATAGTCACTGTTGCAGGATTCATTGATTTATGTAAAATACTTATTGTGCATCCATTAAATATATTAGAACTAATATAAATTTACAATTCATTTCATTTAAAAAGATTCAACATGCTTGGATTAAAGGCAAAATCAACATCAATGATAACAAAAATACTTGGTATATAGGATGTAGCCACTGTTTAACATATAAAACATGTAGGAGGAAAAACTGTCACTGCTAAATATCAACAGACGTTGCAAAATCAAGAGTTCATAGTACAAGTAAGATCTTAGTTATATACACAACAAGACAAATCTACAGCTTCCTACATCATAATCTCATTGCATGACGCTGCTCTTTATGCCACCACCAATAACCCAATTGCACATGACACGCTATCAATAAAAAAAGAGAGTTTTTTCCCAAAATGGTCCCTTGACTATTGCTCATTCTCAATTTTGCATTTCGACTTTCAATTGCACCCAATGTGGTCCCTTGACTTTAAAAAATTCACCCAAAATGGTCCTCTGTTAAGTTTTGCGTCAACTCAACGTTAATTGTGAGGGTATTACGATCAATTCACATCGGTGGAAGGCAAGTACATGCTGATGTTCCAAACGACGTCGTACATGTGGTTGGAAAATATCGTTTTGGGCCAATTTACAGTCGGAGAATAGTTAGAAAATATCGTCACACCCTCCGATTTGCCGTCGATAGGAATTGCTCCGATTCACCGTCGAATAATCCCCAATGAGACAATAGCGGAGAATAATTAGGTTCTGATTCATTTTTCAATCAGAGAAAAATTAATACCCAATTTTCAGTCGGAGAATAATTAGGTTCCGATTCGCCGTCGATCCCGTCGCTAGCTTGGAAATTCGCCGCAGTTGGAGAAAAATTAATCCCCGAGGAGAACCTTTCGGTGCCGAGGCTCCGATTCGCCGTCGAATAAGCAATTCAAA